ATATAGTTCGACTACATTATGTTTATACTATTATTTATCTAATTACAAGTTTACTATCAAAAGATTCGTTCGACATTTAACGAAGGGTTGGATTCTTACTTTTGCTATTGGTGTCGAATTAAAAAATAGTGTAATTTAATATAATGATACACACAAGTAAACAGAAATTAACAATATACGCTTGAGTTCCACATTGACTTGACAAATTACTTCACTGGTTTTGCTTTTTTAAATTTTTTTCTAAATTGATAAATGATCGGTATCATGCCCAGGACTGTGGAGAGAGAAACCTGGGCCCGGGGGGTGTATCTTAATTTTTTCTGCAGTGTTCATTAAATTCTTATCATTAATTTAATTTAATTTTTAATAATTTATAGTCCCTAATTTCCGTGTCCTCTCAAAAATTTCGGGTCTGGAGAGGATCATCCTTTTCCCCCCTTCTCGTCAGGCCTGATCATTCCTATGATCGCATACACAATGCAATAGGATATATTCTGAGGGTTATAAATTATAAATATTAGTTGCTGGACGCTGAGATATAAGCATCAGTATAAATTATTATTTATTACGATTTTTGATTAAAAATTAAAAATTTAGAACGATTTTTTTTTTTTTTTGTGTTTTTTATTACTCGCAACAAACAATTTTGCATTAGAAAATATTCATGTATATCAGAAACGAGTACCTATGTTATTCGTGCATCGACTACTATCATAGACGTATGAATGACTAGATTCCAGATGTCTGATTTAATTACTATTTAATACGTATTAATATATTATAAATTTGCAAGCCGACTTTTACAGGAATATTCTCCAATACTAATTTATTTCGTTGTATACTAATTGAGTCACTATACCTTAACGGGAAAAAAAATTATATACTAATGAAGTTTCGAGTACAAACGGGACATATATTAATTGAGTCTGGGGTTAGGAAACAAATAGTATACGAACTGAGTCCGAGGATTATTTTGAGTAAAATATAAAATCAATCTCCAGAGTCCTGACACAACGGAAATTATGCCGCACGGTATTAAAATATATGTTATTGTTACACATATGCCTTATTAATGTGGACCTAATTTACATATTCATTGGTGAATACCATCAATAGCTGTGTCTCCTTTCATTCGAAAATCAATGCTATGTTTTATTTAGCCCATTCAAACTACTGATTTATAAACATTTTGTAAAATGTACAATGTGAAACTTATATTAAAATTAAAAGTGTTCATGTAATTAATACAAGAAATGATAAAAAAGAAAAAAAAATTGGAGATCAAATGCAGCTGTTGCAATAAAATACAATAACTAGATTTGAATTTACATAATACTTATCCCATTAATTTTACAAATATAAAAATGTTATTTTATCATTACCTATATTTATTTAATTATACACAAATTATTCATATTATATTATACTCATACATTTTTAAATTAAAAAATATTAAAAAATAAAAATATTTTTAACCATATCTGTAGAATTTTTTGTTACAGACAGTCTTAAGTCTGTAAAAATAGGATGAAAAATGTTTATTTTTTTAAACATTTGACGGGACTCAGTATTAAATCATGGACTCGTTAGTATTATTCCTAAAATTGCATTGGACTCAATTTATGTATTAATTAATAAATATATATATACCTTAAAACAACAGGGGACTCAATTCGTTATAAAAGGTTATATTGGGACTCAGTTCGTATGCAGCCATTCATTTTTATAAATAAAATTATTTTATTAATATTTTTTATAGCTAATTACAAGTACTCTATAGTAAGGTATAGTAGATTATTGAAACTGATCATAAAATATTTTAATATGTGTTATATTTAATACTGAGAACAAATTAAAAAATTGATGGATTTAATAGCAAATTAACAAAGCTATGCACTTATAGTTTATTTTAACATGGATATTTTTTAGTAAAAATGTAAGGTTTAATTTTATTGTTGTTCGAATTCGAAACTATTATTTACGTTTTATGATAATTTTGGACTTAAGATAATTTTCGGACTGTTAAATCCATTTTTTATTATTTTAATATTACATACATTTTCATGTATTAAAAAAATGTTATATTGACAGAAATAATTATCTGTGAACAACTAATGTATGGTTATTTTTTTATGATAGAATATCTAAAGTGGAAGTGGAAATTTTATTTAAATATGTTTATGTTTAAAAATGATTTAATGAAAAGTAAAAATGTAATAGTTTTTGTTAATTTATATTTATAATACTAACATTTTTAGTATTTTAAGTGCATTTTAGGAAATAACTCTTTAAATTAATTTATGTGACTTTGGGATGAATATAATACAATTATAATATATACATAGTATATATAAACATTTTATAGATGTTGAATATTATTTTTCAAATAATTAATTATACTCAAATCCTAACCTAACGTGTACCTCTTGTTGTGTTTTATAAATATGAAAATTAGTATTGAATCTATTATAACATATTGTGTAGTATAAGTATAAGTAGAGTTTATTTTAACGTTACCACTCTATGCAAAAATATTTTTTGTTATAATTTAATAAAACATTTAATGTTAATAGTTCAGTTTGTCGATTGAAGTTTATTTATGGTTGATTTCATAAATTACACTCCTATAGTGTTTTATATTTACTTTCTATGTTATATTATCGATGTCGAATACTTAAAATACAACTATTTTAGATTAAGTATAGTTATAATAATTATAACTATTAACTATTATAGTTAATTAAACTCAAATGACAGTCAAAAACCATAAATAAACAAACTAATTTTTTCCTATAAGGGTGAAATAAGTTATAATTCTAAATAAACTATACATGTCTAGGTATAACAAAAACCCCTAATCAGATCATTCGCGTTTGTGTTTTGTGTCCTTAACCCTGACACTGACAATGGTTAGTTAAAAATACATGTTATCATGAAATTAATTTTGTAGAAAAAATTTAAATTTATTATAAACAATTTCAAGGTGTTTCAATAACTGTTCAAAAAATGTTTTCTCTATTTATTGGTTTATCCAATAACTGTGCTCGTGGTGGCTCTCTAAACTTAGTCGAACGAAATAACATGTCGTATTCACATAACAAACAGTTGTCATAGTAGGTATGTGTGGTGAATTGACTTTTGTTATTTATAGTTGTGTGGAAATTAAAAATTTTTCCAAATGGCTTATTTAACATTTATTATATCGATATAAAAGTCAGAAAACACATCGATAATGGTAATCAATGTCTGTATAATGACTAAGAGTATGCTGCAAATATACATACACAAAATTATGTAAATATAAATAATAAATTACTATAGATATACGAGTATGAGACCAAAGCCAGTCATAAAAAAAATTAATAAAATTACATAAATGTGTACATCACATATAAAAGTAAAGCCTTGAGGTTATTTCGACTATAAATATTATTTTTTTTCATTTCATCATTAAGCTGTTCCGATTCATGAACTCTGTATATATATTTATATATATATATGTTCTTAACTAGTGAAATAAAATGTAAACTAACATATTTTTTTTTTTTAACTTCACTGTCGAGGAAATCCGTCATTATTCAATATTATATTATATAATTGTATATTCCAAAAACTTGTTTGTCACACATATAATTATTGAATTGTGTCAAAACAGACATCTGTACATGATATATATATACACACACTATATATACACAAACATGTATACATTTTAATAATTTCGATAACTTACTATAGACTATATAGTTAATAATAACTATAGACTATATAGCTACTGTTTTTCGAATCGTATGAAATTTTTTTTTTTTTATAGTTTTAAATAAAGTTCGTCGCTTATATATTATGTCATAAGAATTTAATACATCAACAAATTATTTATTTATTACATTCAGTCTTATTTATCTAACGTCGAACATGTGTTTAGGAACTTTTAATTTTTTGTATCTCTATTAACATAATATGGAATATTTTGCTTTGAAAATATTTCAATAGAACGGAAGTGTGTTGAATCATCAGAACTAATTTCGCAATGATATACCTATATATCGTGCTTTTTGCCTTTTTACGCTAAAAGATTATATGATTATAAAAAAAAATATGTGTTATAACTAGCTATAAAATTGTTAAATTTAACTGTATTCGATTATCCAAAAAAAATGAATTTGTTTCAAATTTTTATACTTACACATATATTTAACAAAAATGCATCCAAAATAATAAAAATTATATTCATGTTTAATTAATTTAAAATCTTGAAGTTGTTCATTATCAAAAATAGGGTATTAAGTAATATTATGTTTAGTTTTACAGAATAAATTAATTAAAAATATAACGTGTATATAAAATAGTATAAACTTGTCGGTTTAAATTTAATATCCTAGTTATTGCAATTTCACGTACTTAGTTGTGTTGTATGAGTGAGAATTGAACTCCCTGATATTATAAAACTAAGATTATAAAATATATAGTTTTAAATTCGATGTTCTCTACTAGTTTATATTTATTAACTATTTATTTATACTGCTAGCAGATATGAATCAATGATTGATATGAAGAAATTTTAATTTTTATTTTTAAATGCATTATACGTCATTTACATTTGTATTTAATTTTTTTAAATAATTTCTATAAAATTTAGATAATACATTTCACAATTTTATTGTAATGATATAAATTATTATGCATACAGATTAAATTATATGAATTAGAGTACTTTAACACAGTTCTGGTTTTCTATTTTAACAAGTTTTAACGCAAATTTATTAAGTATACCGATTTTAAAAGTTAGGCATTACAATACAGTTATCTTATATCTTTTTAAGTAAAACAATTATTATGTTCATTGCTCATGCTTTATATTATACAAGTAAATATACGTATTATACACAATCGTTTATTAGTAGTAAGTTTGTTAACGCTTTAATACCTACTTATACAATATTTGCATAGAAATGTTTTAAATTAAATAAATTGCATTTTTTAAAATATTCCTATTTTAGGTACTCACTACTCCTTGTAATTCCATTGGAACCTTGAACCCCGAAGCAAACGAATTCAAATACAAGTCATTGTCTGAAAATCAACCAAAGTTTGACGAAGAATCAAGTAAAAAAAAATTGGAAAACTTTAGAAAAAATAAAGGTAAATATGATTTGATAAATCACAAATATTATTAATATAATATAATTTAATTGATTGAATCGTGAACTTTTAAAAGGGCCCATTTTGAGTTTTTAACAAAATTGACTTTGCTATATTTTTTCATCTACACATATAGACCAATATTTTATGAGCGAGAAGGGCTCGTATCAATTTTCTATTGTTATGAATTAATTAATGCATTATTGTTAGTTGCTAAAATAAAAAAAATAATCAAAAGAAAATAAGTTTCTTTATTTTCTTGGAAAATTTTAATTTTTATATATTTATCCTTTTTAAAATGTACGATTCAATTGTATTGACTTGTAAATTTGTAATACTAAATTTTATATAATTATAACTAACAAGTTATTAGATGTGTTGTCGAACCGTAAAAATGAAAATTATGCATTCAAAAAAAAATATTTGCTCGTGTAGCATTTTTAATATTTTATTTGCGGTTTGAGAAAATGTAAAAGTTCGACAATGATTTATTACTGTGAAACAGTGCCATAATACTTTCGAAGTGAACGGTAATATTAGACAGAAAATACTATCGGCATGTTATCGGGCATATACAATTTTTGATTTAAATAATTCAGTTGTATTGTTTTCGAAAAATCATCTAAAAAGAAAATATTTACCCCCCAGGTACGCCATTGACCAATCATCACCGCTAGTACCAATAGGCAATATTGTCATTTATCAATTTGTATTTTGTATGGGTTAAGTAATAATATGTAACATTATTTTTAGAGCAAATATCTGTCTAATTGCACTGTCTAATAGTGTCTGCTAGAGGTTCTATAAGTTTCTAATATGAAATACATTATGGAAAATTATACAAGAACCCAAAATTGTTACTTCCTTAATAGAAATTTTTAAATTACATGTCTGCTCAATTGATAAAAAATAATATCATCTATTATAATTTATAATATAGGTATGTACTTAAATAAATTTAAAATATAATTTACCGTTGACCAATGAAAATGCTAATGCAAATACACTTCTTATGAGGACGGGCGATAGCCATTCTCCCTCCTCTCATAGGATACCCTGTTAAGGAGAGTAAAATAAGGATGGTTTTTGGATAAACGTACCTTTATCAGGACTTAAAGGACAAAGATGTGCATAGAAGATAGCAAACTTGCAATGCTTCAAATTTATAAAATTAACCTTTCTAATATACCATGTATAATGTATATATTTATGTAAATTAACTAATTAACTGTTTAAAGCTACTGCCCTAAAATTAAACTAGAAACATCATACTGGAAGGAATATATAAGTAATATCTAGTATTGGGGTAGGTAGTGGTGTATTGGAGGGTATACGCGGGTATACGCCATTTATCCGGATCCCTACTTTTGGATTTATGCGTATACCTTTAAAAAAATTCGTCTATTATGGGTATACGCTAACTAATCATTAGTACATAATGGGTATATGTAAGCTTCTAATTTTTCATCATCATAAGACATACATTATACAACAACAACAGTATAGAATTTATTATTATTATTATACACTATAGCCATTATCCAAAAATAGCCTTGTACCCGCATAAACTTCGATTACATTTTCTCTGATTTCGGGTATTTGCGAAGACTGTTAGAAACTGCCGAGCATACTCTACATCAGAATACCGGTGGACACGTGCGATATTGTATTATTGATATAATAATTGTTAAAAATAAATCTCAACAGTCAAAAAGTTCTGTTTATAAATTTATCACAATATTAACCGATCTGTATACAATATTTTGAATGTATTGTGATTATTAATTATTATATTGTTGTCAGTTTGTCACTTAATCAGTATTTATTCGTCGTATGTTTGTGAAAATTATTTTAAATTAATACTAAAATATTATTACACAAAATAAAACATTAGGTTTCATGAAAATAAAATATTAACATCAATATTATGTTTCATACATGATATATACCTACGAGTTAATTAAAGATAAATTTAAAATGTAGACTTCCATAGCAGGTTAAATCCAAGGGAACTAAGGGGCCGCGCGCCCACTTCAAATCTTCTAAAAAATTTTTTTTGACATATGTACCCCCCTTCCTGGGAAAAATGTCTGGCGGGATTATATCCTAAGTCCTCATCATATTATGTAATTTTGAGTTTAGGTAGGTAGAACATTTTTTTTAAGGGGTTTAGCCCCACCTCCCACCTGTAAACGCTTATGAGCTGAGCGTATACCCTAGAAAAAAGTTACGAATACATCACTGGGAGTAGGTCAGATGGATAAGTGAAAACGTGTGCACAGCAAGACTATTTGTAATCTATACGCGACGCCAGTTGTAGAACACTATTGTGCGCATACCTAATAATAAGTTTTATCGCCACGTTGTCCGTGGGTTTAGTTTCTGTGTTTGGTACATCCGCGCGGGGCGACTGCCCCCGCCAGGACACGTCGGTAGTGATTGAGTGATAGCGGCGGTAGCATGTTGTCGTCGTCTCGTTGGCGTGAACGAAAAACTAAATTAGCGGGAAAGGGGAATTAGGGCGGCGCGCACAGATCGCGCTCCAGTCGCTGGGCACATGCGATTTTTTCTTCCACGAGTACCGTGCTCTGTGGCATGTGTTCGTGTTGTCGTCCATTTTGCAAGGCTTTTTTATAATGCTAATACACACACGAATGATATCTCATTTAATACGTTGACCGTTCGGTTGTTGTTTTTTTTTTTTTTAATTTGTCCGGGTGTCGCGTGTCTCATATATTTTTTCGACGGTGCTTTTTCGTCCGTCCCCCGGGGTGAGACCGATTCTCCCGCACATAATATTTAATCGGGGCACGGCGAGTCACCTAGCGGACCGGGCACGTTAACGACGCGAAGCTGTAAGTCAAGAAGAAGCAAGCAGAGTGAAAGAAAAAAAAATACAATAAAACAAAAAAACTCCCCATCGTCCGATCCGTGTGCGTATGTACAGTCGTGATATACAGTCACAGTCGCGTCGTATGTGTGTGTCGATTGCGTATATTGCGCGTGTGTGTGTATGCACCGTCGTCTAGTCATATAAGGCTACCTAGTGGAATTTGGTGTTTGTGCACATGGTTTTCGGTGGATGAATTCAGGTAAACTTGTTGAAAGAAAAAAAACGAATAAAAAAGCCGCCGTGTCGTCGTGTACACCTTGTGCGCTAGATAAATATGTGCGCCGCTCTTATCCACAGCTGAATCGCCACACAGCCAGTCGGCCGCAGATAGAAAACACACGCGTACAAGTACTTCCGTTTTTCGGGATTTTTTTCTTCATTTTTTTTTTTAAATGTTCCTACGCAAGGAGGTGGCAGAAACAGGTAAGCACCATCAAACGAGTCACGCTTAAGTCTGACGATAATTTTGTATATCTGGGGGCTGTCTCGTTTTAAATTTAATATCTCCTCGCAAGTGTTAATGTTGTGGGATGTCTCAATAGTATTAGGTTAGACTGAAAAACGTAAATAATTGATTGAAAATAAATAAAAATTTTTAAAAATAATTAATATAAAATTTATATCATCAATTCGGTCGCCATTGGCATTCAACGGGTCCGTGTGATAGGCGTTCTGCTTGCGTATAGGTTAGTTAACCCGAGAAGTCGTGTACTCGCTGATAACCTACAAAAATATGTGTGCACCACATTAGAAGTTTTTTCAATTGCGAATTTCGCCAGTGAATTTTATTGTGTTAATGTGTGTGTATGTTAATCAGACCGTTTTTGTCATTTATAATTAGACTGCCGTTTTTAGTTGGGCTAGTATTTTTGTTACTCTTATTATCGAATTGTTATTACCAATATCGGTTTCCCTTTATTTTTATTGTCGAAGTGACAACGAAATTTACCATTTGCTTTGAATATTGTATTTATGTTGTGAAGTACTTACCTGCGTTTTTCTTTAGCTAACTAGGAACCATAACACTGACTCTTGTTGGATAATCGTGTCTATGATCGGTCCACGCCCCTAATATTAAACATAATTTCATGTTGTCTCCTTATTATACTTTATGTTTCTGTTATTTCTTTCTATGTTTGGCATTAGTACAACTGTGATGTGTGTTAATTTTTTGTCTTGTGCATTTACTTACTGTTGTGAATTAGATATTCAACTATAGTAGAGCATTTTTTTAGTTCTACTTAAAAAGTTTTTTTTGTCCATAAGATCCATTGGTTTTTAATAATAGGGAATTTTTACCATATTTGACACGTCTTATTAATTAAATATTAAAATATAAAATTGTAGGTGGTACCAAATTTATACTACATTGTCAATAAATATTGATAATGCATTTTTGATTGTCTTAAGTTGTTATCTTGATATTTATTAAAATATTTTAAGTCTAAGTATCTCAGTTCATCTTTACAATTGTAATATACAATTAATTCTGATTATAGTAGATAGAACTTAGAAGTTTCTGCTTCCATTTTATCGATTTCTTGATAATTACAATAATGTTTTCACTTATCTTATTTATATTTAGTACTTTCATGTTTCAAAATTCTTATTTTTAAAGTCTAATTTTTATCTTGTTACTTTTATAGGAATTTTTTAATAAAAAATTGTAGCATTAATAGTTGATATTATCTACTATTTTCAAAAAGGAAGTAAATTTTGTTAGTCAGATATTTTTAGAACTCATTTTTAGTGCTCACTAACATTTCTTTTCTCCAGAGAAATAGTTAATTTACATCTCTATATGTGTTTAATTAGTGGTTTTTTAAAGCTTTTAACCAAATATTTAGGTTACTAAATCTATATTCTACTACAACCTTATTTACTAAACAAGTATAGTAATAGTCTGTATTAATTCAATAATACTTTTACAAATATTAATTCAAATTTTATTATATGATCGATACAGGAAGTACATAATATTTTTAGGAAAAAAAAACCTAATACAAAATATTTTTGATAATAACTAATAGCAAGAAGATTTGAAAATGATTTGTTTTATTGTTCTTAAAAACATACATTGACTGTTCTAAAACGATCTAAATAAATTGGTTTGCAAATAAAAAATCTTTTTACATTCAATTGAAAATCCATTTGTGAATATGTAAAATATTTTATGTTAAATATATGTTGTTAATTTTGTTAACAGGGTATATGTACATGAATGGGGACGTAGGAAAAATTTCAACTGGGGCGCACTATAGTCCCCCAGAACCACTGACTGTTTCTACTGCTACTAACACTTCTTACAGGTACACATAAAAGGTGTTATTGATTTTGATAAGTGCTTAATTTGATATAGGTTGAATTTAATGTATAATATGCACATTATTAGAACCTAATGGTTCATTATAGTGTCAAAATATTGCTAGAAAATTTTAAACTGTTATATACTGTTAACTTAAAAGTAAATTTATTTTACATTTTTATTTATGTAAGTAACATTATAGTTTTATAGTTTATATACATTAAGATTTGTTTTAAATTCTATTTCAATGCACGTAATTAGAACCTAATGTTATTAATCATGTTCATTATGGTGTCGAATCGATGCTACATTATAAAATATTCTTTTTTAAATATTTATATATGTAATTCATATTACATGTATAATTTATAGAAGAAACATCTGTTTTTTCAGTTGTGAGTTACTAAACAGTTTTATAAAATGATGATGTTAAAATGCATAACTATTTTATATTTAACTATAGTATTTAAGTTCGATTGATATTAAACTTATTTTTCTATAGTTAAATACATTTTAAATAAATATAGTTTTATTTTTGTGATTTATCTTTTGATACTATATTATATTAATTATTGAAATTAAAACAAATGAACTATAAATGTATTAATAAATTAAATATAATTTGGATATTAATTTAAATTTTAGTTTATCCTAAAATATAATACTATAATAATGTATATATATTTAACTATGATATGTACTTTCATATATTTTAATTCATCTGCATTTGTTTTTAATTAATTTGCTTTTTACTTTTTCTATTTATTAGTCTTCATAGTTAAATGTAATTTCTATGTTTAACATGCATAATGTATATAACATTTTTATACAAACTATATTTACTATAATTCATCAGTAGAATTTTTAAAGTATTCTAAGTTGGATGCATAATAATATGAGTTTATTATATTATATTACCTAAACAGAAAGTTGATTAAAGTTTATTATTTAAATTGATTGTTTTGACTGCAAATATATTGATTGCTTTGATTAGCATGTAATATACGTTGAGAATTAATTTAAAAATATTCAATATAGAAATGTAGTGGACCATTGACACAGTTAAATTGTTTTATTAAATTTATTTTAGCTCTATAAATGGAAGTTATGAAGTGTCTACATTGGATAGTAAAAATAGTGCAACAATTTTAACTGGACAAAATAGCACAATGGTAAACGCCGAGACTTCTACTGACAATATGCCATCACAATCAGTAGAACAACTCAAACAACTTTTATCAAATCAATTGGAATATTATTTTTCTAGGTAAAATTGTAATTCATTTAAAAAATAAAGATAAATAAATGTCAATTTTCATAACAAAATCTTTATTTTTATTTAATAGAGAAAATTTGGCTAATGATGCATATTTGTTATCACAAATGGATAATGATCAATATGTTCCAATTTGGACGGTTGCCAATTTTAATCAAGTAAAAAAATTAACTAAAGATATCAAGCTGATAACTGAAGTCTTAAGAGGTAAGAATTGTGTTTATCATTATGTTTTATTTTACAATTTATTATACTTTTTTATTAGAGTCGCCTAATGTACAAGTTGATGATGAAGGATTAAAAGTTCGTCCAAATCATAAGCGTTGTATTGTTATCTTACGTGAAATTCCTCAAACTACACCAATTGAAGATATAAAGGTTTGTTTAGTAATTGATACTATTTAAAAATCAGTAAAATTTCATAAATTTATTTTTTCTTCACTGACATTTAAAACTATTAGAAGTTTTTCCACCAACACTATATCTCTCTATTTCTCTTGATCTTGAATAATTTCTTTCCATTCTTGTACTCCCACGGCTTTAAGATCCTCTTCTACTATATCAAGCCATCTCTTCCTTGGTCTGTTTCGAGGTCTCTTCCCTTCTAGTTTCCATTCTATCACTGCCCTGATGGTTTCTTCTTCGCTCCATATATTTATTAACTAATTTATATTTTAATAATTTTAACATTTACAATATTTATTTGTTTAGTAAATTTTTTCAGTTTATCTTTAATTGTAAATTTTTTAAGTAAAAACTTAGAAACTAAATTTTTATTTAAATTTAAATATTTCATCTGTGTATATATATATATATATATATATGGGGAAAAATGTATTTTTTTTATATATATATACATCCTTTACCCTTATATATGTAACCATTTAATTTATTCATTATTATACATTTAAAAATTGTATTTTATAAATTATTAGTGTATTTATTTAAGATTTTTTTTTTTTTTTTATATGATGTTATTTAAAATTTTTACACATTGTATATATGTATTAGTTTTATATTATTTAACTGTTTTTACAGGGATTATTTGCTGGGGAGTCATGTCCTAAAATGATATCATGTGAGTTTGCTCATAATAATTCATGGTATATCACATTTGAAAATGATGAAGACGCACAAAGAGCATTTTTGTATCTTCGTGAAGAGGTCAAAGAATTTCAGGTTAGTAAATATTTCTTTTTAACATGTTGACGGCCACCACTGCCATAGCATTTATGCATTTCATTGTAATCATCATTCTTGTAGCTGAAAAAATATTGCTATTACAAACAAATTTATAAGCACTATTTTGTGACAATTAATTAAATTAATTTACACAACTACTATAAGTAACTTATTCACTACTAAGACATACTAGACTTCTATTCATATGATCACTTGACTAAATATTCTAATAAATATTTTTACTGCTTATTTATGGGTATGTATTGTTGCACGGTTTGTTTTATATTGTATTTTAAATTAATTGTATTATCATAATTGTAAATTATTTTCAGTTAGTACACTTATTTTATAACTAATTTATAAATATATAACATTTAAATCTTATAATAGAATATGGTTGTAAAAAAAAAATCTGAGAATAATATCCTTAATTACTGTTATAATTTAAATTTATAATTTATAATGATTGTATTAAAGATTTATTAATGCTTATTAACTATAATATTGTTGTATAATTCTTTACATTATTTTTGTTTTTATATTATTATTATATATTCAGGTTAGGTTTATGTTTTCAGTTACGTAAACTATGTTAATTATAAATTATTAAATTTTCTTTTAATTCAGTTATATATTAAAGATTATCTAAGATTTTTACAATACCTTTTTCATGATATTTTGATACATTAATTAAATTATAGATTATTTCATCATTTAATCTATTCTATATTTTATAAATTAAATTTCTAAAAGTATTCCCTTGGGTGTTGGTGTACTTGTGGTAACCATATTTCGTAGAATATAAATATAATAACCACTACCATATGGATATTGTTGAAAAACCCTGATGTATATTATGTTATTGTATTCTTTTTTTATATCCTTGGTAATATATTTTTATCTATCTTGATGTTGATTATTGATTTGATTAAATGATTAATCATTTATTTTTTTTATTTTTTTTTATAAATCGTGTTATTTAAACATAAATAAAGTAGTATGTTACAGCAATTTTATTATGTTTTTTTTTTAAAGTTTTGCAAATTATTAGTCTATAGTATAAATTAAATAATCTTTTTTTTTTTTTTTTTTGCTAGATAGAATATTAGTAATTAAGTATTGAAAATTATAAACTTTTTACTTTTCATGATTGATATTCTTTTATTGATAAATAGTGTTATAATTTATCTTATTAATATCTAATAAAAATGTGAACAGTTTTCTGGAGGACAAACTTTAAATATTTTAAATATCTTCTTTAAATTACAATATATACATTAATATTTTATTTTAACTAAAAATGTTATCCAATTTAAAACTATGATCGAGATTATATAAAGATATGTTGAAATCTTCATCAATTATAAAAAAAAAAAAAATCATAATATATCCCTTAGTATCAATATAGAATTACAAAATTAGATTTAATAAATGATAATGAAAATTGTATGCTTATGATGATACTATTCACTTGTTATGATTTTATTTTCAAGTGATTTTTTATTACATGCACTACCAACTGAAGCATATTTATATTAAATAACAATATAACATGGATTATAATTTTTATATTTGAGATAAAAACTAAAAAATATTTGACATTAAGGTAACATCCTACATAATTTAATAATTTTTTTATTTCAACATGATAAATTATCACTTATGATTTTTCTTGATAGTTTATTACATGCACTAACAATTGAAGTAAACGTTTTCATTTAATATTATTTTTTAATGTTCAAGTTATGAAATCAATAGTTAAGAATTTAATGTTTATGATGAAATTTC